TGTCTGTCTGTCTGTCTGTCTGTCTGCTTGTCTGTCTGTCTGTCTGTCTGTCTGTCTGTCTGTCTCTTTCCCAGCACTAAATTAATGATAAATGACAATTATTATGTCAATGTGCTTCTCTTTACTCAATGTCAGTCTTTCTCTCTCTCTTGTTTTTCCCCATCCCTAAATTTTTAATGATTGTTATGGTGACGATGTACATATTTTTTACTCAAACGAAATAACAACAAAGTCATCGTCGTGGGTGTTCTGATATAGTTTGCCACGTATTTCGCACTGCAACACATTATATTGGCTCACTGTATCGTTTTGATGTGGGCAGAACCGGAAAAGGGGGTGGCAACTTTGGAGTGCATGGAAAAAGGTCGCACAGCGCTCTCTCTTTTAAAAAGAGAAAAAGCCTTTTTAAAGGCACGGCTGCGTTTTACCAAAATGTCTTCCAAGTCCAAGTGTTAAATATGATTTTTTTTCTCACAAAAAACAGGCTTTTTTCTATTTTTAGTCATCGTAATACCACTCAAACGCGCAACTTGTCAGTTTTAAGAGAGAGAGAGAGAGAGAGAGAGAGAGAGAGAGAGAGAGAGAGAGAGAGAGAGAGAGAGAGAGAAATAAAAACAACCCGTCCCTGCAGTTATTTAATATTAGCCTCTAGATCTAGCCTACCGGTACGTATTTTATCCTCAGACGGTGACGTCAGGAGTGTATTTCCTGTGGCGGAGGTGGATGCGGCGAATGGGTTATGACGAGGAAGACGAGACAAATAGTCTTGTGTCCATCAACACGTCCAGTGGCACTAATGTTGAACCTTTTTCGTCTGCATCTTCTTCAGATTGATGACTGGTTGCTTCTAGGATATGTACAGATACAAAATATGAATCGTTTACTTGTATTTTTGTATGTATGTGTCAGTACCTATATAGGGAAAAGAGTAAGAGGAGAAACGGCTGACAGACTGATTACATTACATGTAGACTCCATTATGTTGCTGCTCTTGTTATTTATTTCGTTTTGCTTTGTTTGTTAACTTTGCTCGTTGTCATCTCATTTAGTTGTTTATGCTTTTTAAAGAATGTTTTCAACATCTGAGTCTATGGCTTCATTAATTGCTTTAGTATGTGGGTGCGTGTTTTCTCTTTTTCGCTCCCCCTTCCCTTTTCTCTGTCTCTCACTCTTTCTTCGTGGGCGAGAGAAAGAGAGAGAGAGAGA